AAGTAGAAGACAATAAGATTGGAAAAATTTCTACAAGAGATCTATGCAAATAAGGCTATTGATGAGATAGAAGAGAGAGTTTGACAAAAGAATCTTTCATAGAAGTTATCTTACTATCAAAACCTGAGCTACCTATGCAAAGTGAGGAGGGAAGGAGTACCCCGAGATAGAGAAAGGTTTTTGCCAATAGAAGGAGGTAGGTAAGGGGCACCTGAGACATGAAAACTAGAAAGGACCAGGTTATAAATGTCTTTAAAAGCCATACTAAGGAAAGTGAATTACATTCTGAAGCTAATGGGGGTTCTCTGAAGGGACACAAGCAGTCTTACACTCAAGTGTGATTTAGCAAACTCATGGGAGGAAGGCAAGGTTGGAAGTATTCAGAATGGTTGGAAGATTACCGTAGTGGTCTGGGGATTGACTACAAAATGAGGCGACCTGGTGGCGGACCACTGCTGTGCTTGTATGTGGTTATGTCAATATGATTGTGAGTTCTTGTGGATAATTTTAATACAAATCTATTGAAAAATATTTGATTTTTACTTTAAAAATTGCATAAAGTAGACACGCAGATGTGGAGTTTCTGTTTTCACCTATTCATATTGTTTTTCTACCTACTCTTAAGAGGTAAAATTATGACAATATTAACTGGATGACTGTAGAGAAGTTTTGGAGAAGTGTTAGCTTTTCCTTTATTTTTAAGATGCTGCCATCTAGTGAAACTTTTGTAAAATCACTTTGTGGTGATCACATTCAAGTTTGTATCTTCTGGTCCTTTCCTCAATTACATTTTAATAATTTATGTTTCTGCCATCCATGGGGAAAGAATTGTACATACATTAAAACATATTGTAAGAGCCTCAAGTGATTTTTTTTATGCAGTACCACAGATGTAACTACAGGACTTTTAATAATAGGATATGGTATGTTGAAGTTTCATGGTTTCTTCATTGTGCCATTCTTTATAAATAATTGATAATAAAAATGCTGCCTTTTCTATTCCTTAAGTTTTCTAAGTTGAGTTTTAAAAACAGATAAAGAAAAAATTGAGTTGTAAATATTGTAAATATTGTTTGACAAAACAAACAAACATCATTGCCTTTATTAGATATGTTGGCAAGGAAAAAAGAGGATTTTAAACTCAGAACCATTATTTTTTTTCCAAGTTGAATTTCAGTGTTAAAATGTATCTTAAAATACAAACAAACAAATCTGTGTGTGTGTGTTTACTGAACCTAAACTGTAGTCTGCAAACCCAGATTTTGATCATCTCTAAATCTTGATAGAGATTAATTGTATTTCTTTTCTATCATTCTCAAAACTTACGTTAGCACGGAGCATTTGTCATATTTTTATGACATACTGCTCATTTTTTTCTGTGAGAAGCAAAGTATGAATTCATCTCCCCCTGCAAAAAACAAAACAGAACAAAAAAAATCCGATATATAGTACTGGTAAGAACTTTTTCTTTTATGAGATACTAGTTATGGACACATTATAATGAATAAGGTTTCTGTTGACTCTTCAATATATTGAGCTTTGGGCGCCTGGGTGGCTCAGATGGTTAAGCGTCTGCCTTCAGCTCAGGTCATGATCCCAGGGTCCTGGGATCGAGTCCCGCATCAGGCTCCCTGCTCCTTGGGAGCCTGCTTCTCCCTCAGCCTCTCTCTCTCTCTGTCTCTCATGAATAAATAAATAAAATCTTTAAAAAAAATCTCTAAAAAAGAAAATATATATATATATATATTGAGCTTTATGAGACTAATGCTATAGTTTAGGGGTCAGCAAATCTTTTCTGTAATGGGCAAGATAGTAAATATTTTTGATTTTGTGACCCATATGGTCTCTGTTGAAACTACTCAATTCTGCTTGCAAAAGTTGTCATAGACAGTATTTAAACAAATGAGATTAGTTTTGTTCAAATACAACTTTATTTATTAAAAACAGGTCATAGTTTGCATCCCTCTGTTCAAGGAAAGTACCTATAATAGCAGTTTGAGGTTAGTTATTCTTAAGTATTAGGACAATATAAAATTGGTCCCTCTGGATTTATTTACTTCAAAAATTTCAATCAATAGATGTGTTCCTTCAAAGATGGAGGAGATTTAAAGTTTTGAAAATGTAATTATTATATATGCACTTATATTTTGGTATTAAAATTATCCACTTAGTAAGCTAAAAATAGAAAAGCTCACAGGTAAAATGTTTTTGCAAAATGAACAATCACCCCTATTTAATGATCGGGGATTTTTTTTTTAAATTCATGTTTATGTACAAAATTGTCTTAATATGGAATGAATCACTATATTCTCGAAGTAAAACTTTTAACATTTTGATTTACAAAAAGTTAGTTTTAATGATAAAACATTAAAGTGAAAAGTTTCTACTTGGGTATAATTTGGGTAATAGAATTTATTGCTTCAGGTTGTCCTTCTGGGAACTGAATGAAAACAGAGGCTTAGTTTCTAAAACTGAATTCTACTAGGCAGACATACAAAACACTCGGATCATGTAATCAGGTAAATAACTAAGACAGACTAGAGTCAGACAGTAAGAGGCTATTAGGGTCTCAAGTCAGTGTATAGGGAGAACATAGTGTAGAGTCATAAACAGCATCATTTTTATTTGGTCATATTTGTGTCAGCTGATCTAGGCAATACTTAGTCATAGAGATCCTGCTAGTCTCTACTGAACTCACTCATGCACCTCTGGCCAACTAAGGAAAGGTGGGGAGAGTAGCTGATCCAAGCTGAGCTCAGGTGAGGGTGACTTTGATCCCCATTTCTTTCATCTTCCATCTGAGCCAGAAGTTTGGCTAAGCAGGTGCTTGTTACAGAGATGGCAGAGGGCAAGAGGGAGAGAGAGAGCAAGCCTAATCTAATCACTCAAAGTCCTTTGGAGTCTCTGCTTGTATTTCATGTGCTAACATTCCGTTGGTCAAAATAAGTCACCTGGCTAATCCCAGGGGCAGAGAATTGTATCCTGTCCACAGTGGGAAGAACTGCAAAATTACATAGCAAAGGAAATGGATGCAAGGAAAGACGAAGAATAGGACCCCTTAAGGCAATTTACCATAGCTTGTATATACTTGAATTAATTAAATATGGGCATGATTGGGGTTTAGTGATAACTGAAAACTACTATTAACTTCATCAGGTTGGTAGGATACAATAAAGCAGAGGTTCTCAAACTTTTTAGTAACAAAACCTTTTACACTCTGAAAAATCACTGAGGACCTTAAAAAAGGTTTTGATACTGTTTATATTTACCGTATTTGTAATTAAATATGTTTATTCATTCATTGACTTATTTTAGAGCAACAATAACAAACACATTACATATTAACGTAAATAATATGCTGTTAGGGAAACAAAGCCATATTTTCTAAAACAAAAAGAATGTTGTATATTTGGGAAATCTCTTTATTGTTTGGCTTAATAGAAGACAGCTGGTTTTCTTTATCTGCTTCTGTATTCAATCTCTTGCTTCTTTTTTTTCTTCATGAAGCATATGAAGAAAATCAGTCCTCATGCAGATAGAGTCAGAAAAAACAGAAGTAATTTATTGGCTTTTCAGTTTATTGTGAATATTGTTTGATACCAGAATTTAACAAGTTGTGGTATGCAATGTGAAACCAAATTACTGACCTTTCTGTACTTTGTTACATTAAAATCCATTGTGTTATGGTGAGGGCTGTGGATTGTGTGAATTGTGTAAGACTGATGAATCACAGACCTGTACCTCTGAAACAAATAATATATGTTAAAAAAGAAGAAGAAGAAGATAGTAGGAAGGGAAAAATGAAGAGGGGGAAATCAGAAGGGGAGATGGACCCCGAGAGACTATGGACTCTGAGAAACAAACTGAGGGTTCTAGAGGTGAAGGGAGTGGGGGGATGGGTTAGCCTGGTGATGGGTATTAAAGAGGGCATGTATTGAATGGAGCACTGGGTGTTATAGGCAAACAATGAATCATGGAACACTATATCAAAAACTAATGATGTATGATGATTAACATAACATAATAAAATAAAATTTAAAAAAAATCCATTGTTTGGTTTTACACTTTGAATATATCTTTTATCCATGCTTGATCTGTAACATCAAACAATGGTTGTTTGAAAAATATTGGTAATCTACCTATTTCATTATATATTATTTTAAAATTATATATTACTACTAAACTCGTCAGAAATATCTTTAAATATTGGGAAATGGACATACTCATAAAAGTGCATACAAATTTTCAAAATCCTAATTTCTCTTGGAAACTACTTTTTTCACTGGCAACAAATATTATGAGTGGTTTTCCTTGAATTGACAGACTCACTTCCTTCATTTTCAGAAGAATGTCTGTCAAACACCCAAGTATGAGTTACTGTTGTTTGTCTTGCAGTTGCTCTTTGATGCAAAAAATGGTTCTCTGGGAAATAAAAGTGGCTAATTCAGCTTGCAACTCAAATAATTACATGAGTACATTATTTTGAGGCAACCATCTTACTTCAGAATGTGGTCAGTTGTTTTATGCATACTTCCCATGTTAAACCTTAAACATATGAGAATTAAGGCACTGAGATTTAAAAGAAATTAATGATTTTTACAGCTTTCTCAAGGAGATTTTTAAGTGGAACTACTTGTTGTCCCCACCCCCCCACAACTAAATGGTTTTGACCCGCCATGACTGCTAGTATGATTTGGTGCCACTGCCTTGCTTGGTACTAACATGCCGGCAGTTTTCCCAGAACTGCTTTTGTTTTATCAGTGCAAATGTCAACACAATGAGGAAGGCAAAGAACGTCTTCATATTATGAAAACTATTTTGACCTGAGAGGATCTTGGAAATGCCCAGTGTTTTGCAGTTCAGACATTGTGAACCACTGCACCAAAGGATAAACTATATTGATAGTACAGCAGTTTGTCAAAGATTTTCTTAGAGATATTTATACTTACTATTTCTAATCATTAAGCAAATTTAAAACTTGTTCTTATGTTCTTCCCCAGGGTTGTTTTGTTGGCTTTGATCTAGCACATGCAGTTGGAAATGTTGAACTCCACTTACATGACTGGGGAGTTGATTTTGCCTGCTGGTGTTCCTATAAGGTACAAATTACTTAATATAGTTAGATCCTTTTATCACACATTGACATTGATCTAAATGAAAAACTGGATCAGCGGCCAGTTTTAACCATTTGAGTTACTTTGCTCCATTTCTTTCATTACTGCTTTTTCTGATTTTAGTTAATTACAAAGTCATATGATACAATAGTATAAAAATTAATTAAAATCAGGTATTTTCATCCACTGTAGAGTACTTATTCCTTTAATTACCTAGCTGCTATAGGAAAGTCAGGAGGTTTGGCGGGGGGAAATCTCCACACTTAGAACTTAATTCAAATTGATTAGGTTCTTAGTTTTTTGTTGGTATGTTGTGAAATTTCTACTCTGTAAAGATAATTCTTATGGAATCAACTTGATATTGACATCCGAAGACAATTTAATAGAGAGGGGTCATGGAAATGAAACCAATTTTATTTTAACTTAGATGATTTTAAAATATGCTACTTTCTTTTTTTTTTTTTTTAAAGATTTTATTTATTTATTTGACAGAGACAGAGACACAGTGAGAGCAGGAACACAAGCAGCGGAGTGGGAGAGGGAGAGCAGGCTCCCTGCTGAGCAGGGAGCCCGATGTGGGACTCGATCCCAGGACCCCGGGATCATGACCTGAGCCGAAGGCAGATGCTTAACGACTGAGCCACCCAGGCGCCCAATATGCTACTTTCTTATTACTTAAATATTTTTGTGACAGATAATTGAAATGAATAATAAAATTAGATAGACTTCATTAGAACTGTTATCTGTTAGTTGGGGCAAAATTTCACCAGAAAAGTAATAGGTATTTATTCTCAACTAATAATGCTGGGTGCCTGGGTGGCTCAGTCGTTAATCATCTGCCTTCGGCTCAGGTCATGATCCCAGGATCCTGGGATCGAGCCCCACATCGGGCTCCCTGCCCTGTGGGAAACCTGCTTCTCCCTCTCCCACTCTCCCTGCTTGTGTTCCCTCTCTTGCTGTGTCTCTCTGTCAAATAAATAAATAAAATCTTTGAAAAAAAAATAATGCTATGTTTTTTTCTTCGAAGAAAAAAGGTGACGCAAAATTCTGTTTTATTATAAAAGCTCAAATTATCACACGTTTTGAACTGGTCAAAAGTTGGTTTCATAACACAAAAGTCAAATGATTTCATTGTTTAGTTTTGTCATATGCTCAAACAATTTAATTTCTTTTCAATCCAGTATTTAAACTCAGGAGCAGGAGGTCTTGCTGGTGCCTTTGTCCATGAAAAGCATGCCCATACAATTAAACCTGCGTGAGTACCATCTTCACATTCTTTGGTGATGAATAAATTAATTTGCATTAATAATATGCTAAATTTACATAAGTTCATTAAGGTGCTATCCAATAAGAATCTGGATTGATTATAATTGTATCACTACTCTATTAACAATGATGTACTTTATCAGAAATAAATGCCTTTCAAAGAGTTCAATTGGTTGAACAAGAAATTTAATCACAAAAAGGGAAGCTTCAATGCTAAAAATGAGTCACTGTAATCATGTAGAGCAGATGGTTTAATGCAAAGAGACGACTTATTTTTGTTCAAAAATTAGACTTCAGAAAATTTCAGATTCCTCACATTGATGAATAAATCAAAGGCAACCAGAGCTGTGCCTAATCGAGCCTTAAATGTGGTATGTTGTTATTAAAATTACATCTACCTTTAAAGCTAGAAACATTATACCATGGTCTTGTAAGGATTATCTTCTGTCCTAAAAGATTTTATAATCCATGAAAACTGAAGAAGCTGAACACCGAACAACACAGGCTGATTGCATAAAAAGCAATACTTTTCTACTTTATATAACTTTTTCATTTTTTAGAGCAAGTATAAATGCAAATGTGATCTATTAACACATTTATACATTTTTATTTGGGGAACTTGTAAGTTTGTTTTTATCTGGTATGGAGATACAGAAATAATATTCTGTAAAAGTTCCTTTCATAGTTGTTGTATCAGAGTATGTGTGATGAGGAGACTGTCTAGACTCATAATAGGTAATATAATAATGTTTGATTAGTTTTCTGAATCTTCTCAGCCACTGGCTGAGCGGTGTAATCTTTACAAGAATTGAAGCTGAATTAGTAATAAAACTTGGAGCACCTCACATTTCTGAGGTTTTATGCATATAAATCCAAGAAATTTAAGATGATTTGCTGCAGTTCATTTACTCATGTCTAAAATTTCGTCAAGATTTTAAAGTTTAAAATTAAATAGAGCATTTTCTTTAGACAGGTATTTTGTCAGGCAGACATCTTCCACAAATATACTGTCAGTACATTAGATTTCTCCCCATGTCCCAAATTCTCTAAAAAGAATATAAAGCAATACTAAGTTATAGGAATGCCATGCATATTTTAAAAGATCTCTCTTTCATTTTTAGCAAACCCTGCTGATAGTGTTTTACCTAGCATAATTGTTTTCCATGTAGACAGTATATAGGATATTCCTTCCTTTGGGTGAAGACTCACTACTCTGACCATTTCCCTTTCTCCACTTGTTTAAATTGTAATAGAGGATCTGATGTAGTGTATCAACCCGAAAACAAGCTGGTGAACTGGTTGGAGGCTATGTAAATAACCTACACAAATTCTCGAGAATGTAAGGGTTAGCAGTTTAGTTCTGATCTTACAGCATATGTCTGTTGCACTTGAGATTTCTTTTATCACTATTTACCCTTCATGGATGAGGAAGAGGAGATGAAGGGTTGTAGTGGGCTCATGTGTGCTTCATCTTGTAGAATCCAGACATCCTCTAGGACACTGTATGTGTTAAATCTTTGGTCCCAGGAGAAAGACTATATAGACAGACCAGATTTCGCATTACTGCATGATCACTGGCTGTTCTATACCTGGAAGAATGTTCCTTGATCTCTTGGTGTTCTAGCCTCTAAATACAGGTAATAACAGCATCTACCTCAAAGGCAATAATTCTGAGAATAAAATGAGATGGGTCACATGTAAAATGCTAAGCACAGTGGCATAAGCATTATATGTGGATCTTACATGGAGGTTAAATGCTTTGTTGCTTCACTGTGAAGTTGTATGTTAACTAGTAGACTTTGGACTAGTAGAGATCATTTCTCTTAAGTAGAAAACACAACCTCAGAGGTTATGTTTCGTGACTTTGAGGACATTAAACAGTTTTGTTCATTTCAGCAAGCCTTTGAGAAACTGTTGACCATGTAAGTCTCCATTCCTTGAATTCTCTCTTGTCCCGGCTTTACCATCTTACTGGTTCCTCATTAATTAATGAGTTAATGAGATCTTTATGCATCTTCATTTCATATTTGTATGAGAGCCATACTTCTAAATTTTTTGAAAATTGTATGTTATTATCTGTTGTTGCATTTTAACTATCTGGCTTTGGAGACTGACAAGACTCAAATCAGGCTTGACTTATGAAGCCCTCTTTACAGAAAACCCCAGTTGGTGTAGTTTGTTGGTTTGTTTGTAAAGCTTTTTTTTATATCATGTCAGAGTGACTAATTCTAATGGTGCCAACTTCTACCCAATAGTGGAATGTAACTGCTATTGATGTTAACAAACTTTGTGAAGTAAACTCTGTTGCTTTTTTAAAGGGTGACATCTAGTGGCTAAGCGTGTTATTTCAAATAAATAGTATACAAATGACATTTCTTTTCACTATCCAGTCGTTTATTCTTTCCCAAGAATTTTTAAATTATATATATTTAAACTATATATATTATTTGACTATATTTTTATAGTGCAATAATTGTGTAGTCAAAGCCTTCAGTAAAGAAAAGAAATAGGATGAAGATCAAAGTTAAGATTAGGGGCATTATAGGTATGTGATTAAACAGAATGAATAAATGTTCATCAAGGGTGGTGAAGAAGGGCATTATGGAAGTGATTGACCCACCAGGTATACGTATAGAGCGTAAATCCCAGGACATGCAACCCTGCATATTCAGTGTATAACTTTGAAGTATCTCTTATATGTTTTCATTAGCAACTGGTAAATTACATCTGTACCAAGAATGTCACTTCTTTTTCTTCTTCCCTTTTTTTTTTTTTTTAGTTTAAATAGGTATTTTGGCCATTGTTCAAACAGATGACCTAAGACTTTTTCCAAGAACCTTTTGCCAATAAAGAGAAAGAGTACAGGCCATAGTTTCTCCACTGCATTAAGCATCATAACTCAAGCTGTTATTCTCAACTAGAATTTGACCTTGTCCTAGTTTATCACCACCTTTTCTCATTCCATTGTCATATTCTAAACTTTGTCTGTAGCTAAGAATTATTCTAAATTAGAACTGGTTGTGAGTAAATGCCATCTTTTTTTTTTTTTTTCCTTCAGGATTGACTTCAACTCAGTCTATAAAATTAATTATCATTCTGAGATATAAAGGAAAATATTTTTAATTGTAGGCATTTGAGGATCAGAAATGTATCAATAAAAAAAGTACTTAAATACTTTGTTTTTTTTAACTTTATAAATGTTGACTTTTCTGGTATACTTTAGATCAATACTTTTTGATTTTATGGGATTCAAAAATATCTGAAGCTCTAAATAAAATAAGAAATTCAAAAACAAAAGCCGGGGGGGCACCTGGGTGGCTCAGTGGGTTAAGCGTCTGCCTTCAGCTCAGGTCATGATCCCTGGGTCCTGGGATCGAACCCCACATCAGGCCCTCTCCTCAGCGGGGAGCCTGCTTCTCCCTCTCCTTCTGCCAGTGCTCCCCCTGCTTGTGTGCACTCTCTCTCTCTCTCTCTCTGTCAAATAAATAAAATTAAAAATTAAAAAAAAATACCTGAAGCTCATAAAATGCAATTCAACAGCCCCCGCCATACACACACATTTTTTTTTCTTTTGAGAGGCTTTAGCATAAGAACAGGAGTGGATCATATGAGCTATTAAGATTCCTTCTGTCACTTACTTTTTTACCTCATCCAGTGAAACCATACATACTAGAAAATAGCTGTTCTTCATTTTCCATGCTGACATAATAAACCTCCAAATACTCGAATGTATTAGATCCCTTGAAATGTTCATTTCTCCTGGGATTTTTTTTTCTTTTAAGTTTTTTGAGTGACCAAAAATGGGGCCTACTGATAATTTTGATGAAAATGCTAGAATTTTAAATCATGCCAGTACATTTCCATAGTCAGCTAAAGGTGTTTGATTGAAGCCTATAAATAGACATGTCAGTTTTAAGGCTTTATTAAGGGCTTGAGTCATCTCCTTTATTCTAATAAGCCATTTCCAGGTTAAAAAGGACTAGGCAAAGGGGCTGGACAACTCCAGTACATAGTTAAGGCAAATTTTAGAACTCAGAAATGTAAGTTATTATTTTTATTTGACAACTTAAAAAGAAAAAAGACATACCAAACAATATTCAGGAAAGTCTAAGAAAGGATAAGAAGAAAACAACTTAAAAATTATAAGCTTATGCAATGCTTGGCCTAACTGTATGATTAATGTCATGAATGGAGATCATCTAATGCACATTTGTTCTGGGGAATGCTGACTTGATACATTGATTCTACATACTCTTCCAGGCAGGGTTGAAGAATGCCATCATCCAAAATTTACCTATAGTTTGTTTTGGTTTCTTAGTAATCCTTTTGGACTTAATTACTTATCACATCCTTGTCTAGTACCTATGTAAGGTTTCCTTGTTAAAGGTTAGAGAATAAGGAAGTGTAGCAGCAAGGTGTGTAAATTCATGACTCCAGATCCTTTAAAATGTGATAGCCCAATATCAGTAGATTTCTTGGAATTTACACAATCTCTAGTTTAAATGTGACCTCTACTTTCCAGGGCATCTGTTCTACCCATTTAGCCCGTTTCTTTACTTTCGGTGTTTAGTATTAACATGAATGACTTCTCAGCCCCAACTTTTTGACCTCTCAGCCATATTAGATATCCTTGGCCATCTCCATTGTCATTGATGTTTTCCTCCCATTGCCCTAAGCTTCCAGTGCACCATTTTCTCCTGCTTCTGCTCCAGTTTATGTGATGACTCTTCTATATTTTGCAAAGTTTACTCTTTTGCTTTTTCATTGATTATCTCAATGCCTCAGTCCTTTAGTCCCTGAGCCCAGAATATCTCATCCACACACATGATTTCAACAATAGACATTTGTAGAAGACACAGACAGCTTTACCACTTGCTTACTTTTTAGGTGTTATTTTAATCTGATTGCAAGTTACAAGATTTTCTGATTATCAAAGCATTAAACTAGTTCCCAAAGATACATGATAATGTAGGAAAGCAAAGATTGTCA